GGGGGTACAGAGGTCCCCTATATATACTACTGTACATCTGTGGCTACGTAGTACTATACAGTACATTCCCAGGATGCACAGTCGCACAGAGAAGCAGTGCGTACACAGCGAAGCTGTGTGTGTACCACATGAGTAGTACAGCCTCGGTTATTGCAGTAACCGGCTGTGCCGTTCCATATCTTGTGACGGCTGTGTTAGGCAAGCTGTGTAAACCAGCGCCTGTTTAACATCCCACGCCAGAGAAACACCTATTGTAATTGTTCAACCCTCAGCACAAATGTTTGACCTGTGGTACATAAGAAAGAATGCAACCTGTTACTGTATAGGTTGGGAGAGAAAAGTTGCAACTGCCAGTGTGCTATTCGAGGCATGGCTGAGAGGTATCCGATAGTTTTCGCAGAACATACTATCGCTCCAAAGGCCTATGAACATTGCATAGCTCCCGATATAATACTGCAACTCGGAGAGGCATGAGATCTAGTGAACACAGCATCAGCAAATTGTGCAAACAATGGTATTGCATGGCCACAGCGCCCGAAACTGGCCTACCCTTTCCGGAAACCACAAGCACCTACTAATACTGGCCAACTCCCATCGCGTCCGACAGACTCCGGCCATTGAGCATCTGTGCGCATGGATACCGGCAATGGTAGGTAGGTATTCAACTTGTCCTTTTACTTCATACCACTCAATCGTCATTAGGAAAAGTGCATATACGTCGAGAATATGCAAGGCACTCCGCTGCATCACAGCCGCCTCCTCCTCGGCACTTCTTACTAACTCTCCCCGATCTCCCACTTCCGAATGCGCTCCCCATCCTCCTCCATCTTCCTTTCCGCCTCCTCCCTCTCTGCCTCCTTGTCTACGCATACGCCCTCGCTGTCATGAGCGGCGGCATGGGGGGCAGGTCAGGTTGCAGCCGGCCCAATTAGGCCCAAGTGCCGATGCGGGTAGAGCGGGTGAGTGCGGGGCAACTCAGCGGTGTTGCATTCTGTCAGATCTGATGGTGTTGTCGCTGTTGAACAGGCGCTGGTTTACACAGCTTGCCTAATACAGCCGTCACAAGATATGGAACGGCACAGCCGGTTACTGCAATAACCGAGGCTGTACTACTCATGTGGTACACACACAGCTTCGCTGTGTACGCACTGCTTCTCTGTGCGACTGTGCATCCTGGGAATGTACTGTATAGTACTACGTAGCCACAGATGTACAGTAGTATATATAGGGGACTTCTGTACCCCCAATCTACAGTTCAGTTCACTCGAACATCTCCTCTC